TCATAGTTTGTAACAAGCCTTTGACAGGTAAACATAACATGACCGAAAAAGAAAAAAAAAAAAAAAAGAGAGAGAGAGAGAGAGAGAGAGAGAGAAAATCATATTCATAAAACTGAATATGATTTGGAAAAGAAAATAACCACAAACTCAGGCATTACACCACATTTAACTGGAAGACATATGATTATTGAAGAGCTTAGAGGTCTTTAGTTTGATGTTTAGACTCTAGTTTTACTTATTTTGGCAACCATGAGCATTTTAACTGCATGCACAGAGTTTACAACGGGGACCTTTTCATGTTTCTTTAAATATTCAACTTCTTAGTCTAGAGTTTCCACTTAATATGAAATCTCATTATTAAAAAAAATGGTGAATGAATGTTTTGCTGAATCAAACATTTTGCAAAGATGAAAGAAAAATGTGATGTAAACTGTCTTTGGAGTTTGCATTAGCTCGCTCTCTGCAGATTGAATCCAGAGCTGGCAGGAGAAAATGTTTTGGTATTGATTGTAAAAAATTAGCATGGGAAGAGACAATGTGCCCTCAGGTTGGTAGAGATGAAGCAGTCCTAAATTTTTTACCGTAGAGCTTTGAAGTTGTATCATGGAACTGCTGACGGCCAGCTCTCATCGCTGCATTTTCTTTAACTTTTTTTTTTTCTGTGCAAACAGACACAGCGTGATGGAGTATAATTTGAACCATCTTTAATACAAACCACAGAAGCATAAATAATTGAATAAAATCGGCAGAGGTTTTTAGAAATGCACCAGCAAATAAGCCTACAATGTTTTTCTCTCTCTTTTGGATCCATTCTAGGAAGGCAAAATTCTGTGGTGGAGAAAAAAAGTGGAGGAGACTCTGGTTTTGGCTGCTTGAAGTGGGCCTGGCTCGCATGTGGCTTGGAGGAACCAACGCGCTGGCAAACCATGTGGAAATACTGTGCATCAAACACCAACAAGGCTCATAACACATTGCTTCCAGTCTGGCATTAGAACACACATATTTAGCTTTAAATGAACATACTTCACCCATAAAGTGCTTGCCTTGAACCAGAAAGTTCAGATGAGGCTAAAATGTACAACATCTTCTTTAAAAAGCTACATCATTCTCCAACTCCGAGTCTGCCAGCACATCTAAAACCTGCCTATTGTTTTTTTGTCATCATACTTAACCTGCTCTCTCCTCTCCCTAGTGCTGATTGGCTGCAAAGATTGTCCTGCATGCATAAAAAGCCAGAGAAGACCACGGGGTCAGAACTCTCTCTCATTCTCTCTGGTCCCCTCATCTCTCTATCAGCACTGGGATTATTCCTCTTTTTTTTTTTGCTTATAATAATTTTGCTTATATAATTTTGTTTATTAATGAGTTGGAAGTCCCGTTTTCAGTTTGGGTTTTATTAATTTACTTTACTAATGCTAACTATGGGGACAATGCTGAATCCAAATAGTCGTGTTGTTGGTTTTGTTTGTTTTAGCAGGGGTTCCCTTCCCTTGTTTTCCATGTTTGTAAGAAATGAGTTTCTACAGCAGTGATGGGACATCACTGCTGGTTTGTTTCTTTTTGAGGCATGTATTTCTGGACCCTAATATATTTAGGTGCTCGTGCTACTTTTGTCTCCTTGTTTCACTGATAACTTTCATTGTAATCTACCGTTGCATCAGTGAAGCTTCTGCATCTGTTACTTTGTGTGTATTTGCAACACTCTGGCTTGGTTATTTTGGGAATATTTTCCCTCCGCCTGTTACTTTTGAATAACTACAGGATTTATGTGAATTATTGATTTTAATTCAGCAATTTATTTTGAGACTTTACTGAAGTTGTATTTTTCTTTTCAGCTAATTGATGCCCTCAGAGCCTTCAGCTTTCAGACTGGAAACATACATCCTCTCCACTTTGAGCTTTAAGATTCAAAATGTTCCTTTTTTTTGTGATCAACATTTTATTGATTTAAAACGGGGTTGGAGGGGGGGGTAAAATGTTCCTTTTTGATAAAGCTCATATGCTTTTGGCAAGATCAGGTGACCCTGGTCCCTTAGTTATGGTAGTATCGGCTCAGACTGTTGTGGGACTTGTGAGACACTGAGCGTTTCTTCTCGGCTTACCTCTTTCACTTCCAAGGTGTTAAATAACACTGCAGCGTGTCATTAAATTTTGTCTTCTCTTTCTCTCATAGTTTGTGTTTTGTCCCGTCTCCCTATGTCTCCCTATTCCTTTTTCTCTTCTCTTTCTCCTCACCCCCCAACAAGTTGTGGCAGATGGCCGCCCCTCCCTGAGCCGGGTTCTGCCAGTTTTTTCACAAAATGCTTGCTCGTAGAGGATTGTCCGATTGTTAGGATTTTCTCTTGAAAACTGTAGGGCAGTATAAAGCATCTTCAGGTAATTATTGTTATGATTTGACACTATATTAATAGATCTGAACCAAACTGATCTGAACCTAATTTTTAGCTCATGGCTCATTGAGGAACTTGTCCTCTACAGTTTGTTGCGTTTTTTATGTCTGAGCTGTGTTTTTAAACAAAGAAATGTGGTTTCATTTAGAGGGCTTTGCAGTTTTGCCGAGCCGTGATAAATTTAATCACTGCATTAAAGATCCTTTGTTGGCTATCGCTACTCGTTCTTCTGTGCCTGTTCAAAGAATCTAAAAAGAAAGCAATCAAATCTGAACTACGGACTGCTATGGTATGAATATTTAAATGCTACGATAAAAACGTACAAAGAACACCACAAGTGTGTGGAGTTTGTTATTTCTAAATTCAAGTGATTTCCCGCTCTGCAGAGCAGGCAGGCTCAGTGGTTGATCTTTTGGCCTGAGAGTGAGAAACAAAAACACTGACTACCATCATAAAAAAAGCTTTCATGGGAGAGTGAGCAAATAAGCAAAATTAAAAGCATTTAAACAATTAACCTTATCGACTTTTAAAGAAAGGACAGGGGCACTAAGTACAACAGAGGCTATTACAGGTTAATCATAGAACAGCTGGGAGGGAAGATCTATTTAATAAAGAACTAGGACGATTCCTTGTTCTGTTTTTTGTACTTCTTTCTTGATTGAAACACTGATGTCAAACTGAGAACTTTTCTATTTAGTTCTTGAAAAAAGTGCTACATGGCACAATCTGTGGCACTGTGATAACTGTAATGTTGTGACTGTTATTTCAATGTAAATATGTGACCAAAAACTACATTTAAAAAAAATCTTTGCCACACTTATAAATACTTAAATAATAGCATAAACGAAATCTTCACTGTCAGAAGTGGCACAAAGTAAAAGCAGGCACTTACACTGTTGTCACTGGACCCTGACACAGGGTAGACAGTCCAGCCGAGCTCCGCCGTGGCTGTAGTGGAGTCCATGAGTGTCTCTGTGGAGAGCCATAAGAAGAGATGGCAGAAACATAATATTACTGGGGTTGAATATGAACTGCTTGAGTCAGACAAAACAATTTAAGGGGAAGTCTACAGTATGAAATGTCAAAGTGTTGTAATGCTTACTGAAACATCTGAATATTTCTTTATATTATAAAGGACTGTTTTAAATGTGCTGGAAAAAAGGGGGGAGGATGTCGAATGTTTTCTGTTCCCATTCTCATTTGTCTAGTCAATAAAAAGAACACTAGTTACATTGCTATAAGTTTCATAACAGCTGTGGTGTTATTTGTATGACTTTATAGAAAGAATAGAGCTTAGAGCTCAGAATAACAAAAAACAAATACAATAGAATCTCCATGACATAGAATAGAGGCTACACCCTATACTGCACTGTATATGAGGGAGAGAAACAACTCTGGTAATTGGGGTCAAACAGAAATGTGCCTCCTATCTGTCATGAGGTCATCTGTGCCACACATTCCTCCAGCCTGAACCAACTGTCTGTCATATGCTTACTGAGCCATTGGCACAGTCGCCTCCTTTGCTCGATTTGCTTAATCTCTGTACCCATGCCCTCACGCCTGCTTTTCCACCACTTCCTCTCACTTGTGCCACACACTTTAACAGAGGGCAGGTCTAATGAATTTCTTCAGCTCATTATGCCTGTGTCTGTCTTGTAGACTAGTGTTGAACTGCAGCAGATGTAGAGACCATTCATCAGGTTCAAGGCGTCAGCTGCAAGTCCAAAATGCCACAGAGGGATTTAGAAGCCCCCTTGACAAACACGGCTACTAAGCTTAACATAAGTCACAGCCAGTGATTGTTATGCAGGGCCAGCAGACAAATGCTTGCTGTGGCTCTTCATTATCATTGTTGAATGGACTGATGGACTAGGTGCTAACAGCGTGGGTTAATTAAAAGTAGAGTCAAGGTTAGATAGATCTGTTTTTTAAATTAATTAATTAATTTTTACGAGTAATAAGTGAATGAAATCAAAGCCAGAGAGGATCTCTGTCTCACAGGACTTTGTTCAACCCTGTGCATACTCTGAACAAAATCCGTAGCTCTGTAACAGCCTGCAAGAAAGAAATGTTGGAGATTTAAAGTTGTTTCATAACCCTGGGTTTTCTCAGATTTTTATTCCAGCAAAGGCAGCAGCTTTTAATTAACAGGTTCCACACACGCTGGTTTATTTCAGGGCCTTGTGCTGACTTTCAGCATCGCACCAGCACTCAGAAGACATAATACCAGATTTCGCATCCTATTCAGTTATCACAAAGTCTAAATCTTATAATTAGGCAGATAAGACTGCAATTGAGCATCTATTGATAACCTTGTGTGTGACTCAGAGCTGAGGAGTCTACATGGGTGTTAGGGAGTGAAATGGTAATTATCCCCCATAATGATAACGATAATTAGTGGAAAGTAAAGTGAGAATAATGAACCCCCTCTGTGGTGGTTAGGGAGTGTTGTGGGGGAACGAGGAGGAAATTTCCCCAGGAATGTAACACTCCAGCCTCCTCTTTCTCTTCTTCTTGTTTTTTCTCTCTCCCTCCATTTGTTGCTTTTCAGTATCCCTCCCGTCACACTATACCGCTTCATTCTTTCTCCAATCTCTCTCTCTTCCTTCTCTCATAGCACACCTCCTCTCAACCCCTTCTTCTCTCCTGTATGCTCAGACTCTCCAGCTATCAGCAGCCCACATGCTGGAAAAGTAGAACCTCTCCCTGAAAGACTGATCACTTTTCTTCCTCCTGCTGTCTACACTCCAGTCCGCGGCAGCCACACCGATTCATTACCTCCCGTGGAGCAGAGCGGCACATAGCTCTCCACTGTCAGCCACTGCCTCGTTTTCAGTGTGAACCCCCAGCTGTGGCAGAGCATGGCTGCTCAGCACGACCCTTTGGCTATTAATCAAAAAGAGGACATGGTACAGAGGTTCTCATCTAAATCCAGCAACAGGAATCACTTATTTTGGTTTGTTCTTGTGGGCAGTTGTTTACAGTGTGAGGATTTGAATTCTGACACTCTTGGGAATAGCACTGACGTATTGATATCAAGCTACCGCTGGTTCATCTGGTTGTTATGATCGGTACCATTGGGGTTGTTTCCAGCCTCAGAATGGGCAAGTTGGGGGTCCACATACAGTTAAGGCTTATTAACAGACAGGCTTTGTTTTGGATTTTACTGCCACTTTTAAATAGTTAAAATAACAAAAAACAAAAGAAAGAAAAATGACCATTAATAAAACAGATCACAGAAAAGTATAAAATCAGGTACAATCAATCAGGGCAAGTTTTATTAAAGGCCTTTAATTAGATGATTTAAAATGCCTAACAGACCTCACAAGACTTCCATTAGGCCTTTAATAGAAAAAACAGATTAATAACACATGGTGCTCACGTTACACTGGAAGTCTAAATTACCTGTCTGTCAACTAACTCAATTACAGGATATCAATCAAGGTATATTTGAAACATGTGTTAAATAATGACTATTCTCTTTGCTGTATGTGACTGAAGAATATTTCCTGTTCTGTGAAAAATGTTATCAAATTTAAAAAGCACCCCAATGTGGGCTTATTAAATATTAAAAGTGACTGAGTACTTGGTGTGTACATTATTTCTTCATTTGGAAAAAAAACAAAACAAAACAAAAAACTTTTTTTGTTAAAAACTTTTTTAAACATGCGTTTTGTAATTGAGAAAAAAATTTAGCATGGGAAGAGACTTCCCCCCAGTTGCTCTCTAAACTTAAATAGTCCATCCATCCATCCATCCATTCGCTTCCGCTTATCCTTTTCAGGGTTAAATAGTCATTAAAAGATTGTAGGTTCCCCCCCCCCCCGAAAGTCTTCCAGATGATCTCTTCATTACCAAACAAGTTGGCATTTTGCAATATATCCCCCTAACACTGGAAACTGTGTAATGGATTTTTCCAACACCAGAATCTGTTGTTCAGAAGGACACAGATCTGATGACAAACTGCAGCCTCTCAATTTCCCACTTACAGCAGAGAGTGTCTTTGTATTGTTTGTGCGGCAGCTGAGGGATGCAGCTCGTGGGAAAATGGACACCGTGTTGGCGGTCGAAAACAGCAACGATATTTCTCTCGACAAAGAAATGCTTTCAAATATGAAGCATTAATGAGCCAACCTTTCTCAGATCACAGACAGCGATAACAATTTGACAGTAAATAATTAAATGTTGGATGTCTTTTTTCCCCCCCATTTCAAACCTGATACCCTTGACTTTGGAGGGTACCATGAATATGCAATGAGACCTAGGAATCTAAGAAAAGCCTACTAGGCTGAGAGTGCTTCCTCCAACACTTCCTGAGACTAAGGAGAGAGTTTAGTGCTGATCTGAGAGAGAGCTCTCCAGTGAGAGGCTGTCTGAAGTGACAG